GATCACTGCTACCACATCCGTGCGTTATATTCTACACTCTGCCTTACTGAGCAAGCTACCAAGGTCTGGATTCTCAAGCCGTATGCAAAACTAGCTTGATGCTGCAGATGCTCTCATCAGTCTGGCATGCGCACCAGTTAAATCTCGTGGTCAGTTAGACGGACCACGTCTGTGATCAAATAAGTCTACTATTAGCCAACCAACTTTGGTCTCCACCGCATCTCTCGTGCCAAGTCTATGACTTTCTTATGTCAAAGTTTCTTGTGTGCCAACCCCCAAATTTTATAGTTGTTCAACTTGCTTTGATTAGACCTAAAGTAGATATCACGCCTTGGTTATTGATTGTTCCTATGTAGCCTCCGCCTTACGATTTATTTTCTTCAAGTTTAAACTATTTTCTCATTGTAGTCGTATTCCCTAATCTCTTCGAGTTTGTTTAGGCAATATGCAAAGTTGGCCTCTCGGATCTTGCGTTTCCTGTATCTTCGCCATATGCAGCCAGCCATTCTGCCGATTTCGTGCCTTGTCCATGTAATGTGTTCCGCGATTCCGGATCTGCCCGTATCTATTTTTATGCAGATTCTTTTGTCTTACTTGGTCTGTGGGCTGATTTTTCCTCCCGTTTCACCAATATACTCCTACTTAAAATTGACACAATCTATTAGATAAACACCCGAGCAATTCCTTTTATAAACTTTCTTGTATTGCGTCGGAAGTATCGTGAAGATTGATGCCTTTTGCTTCGTTGTAACCATAATAGTTCATTGCTTGCCTAATTAGGATTATATAAAATAATGTATGCGAAACTAAGTATAACACGGACTCATAGGGAACACAAGGCAGTAAGCCAAGCGCATCCTCTCATAATCCGGCAGTAACAACTCAAAGGAAATTTGCCTTCGGTTTCTATTCGGGAATTCTATAAAACTCAGCTTCTTTTGGAACGGATGAAAATTAAACATATATGAAGAGGACTTACAGTAGGTTTAGAGCCTCTATACAAATAATTAAGCGAATAGGAGTAAGGGTGCAGATCATCAAGTCTCTAAAAAAAACCTATATCGCTTTAGAAAGTAAATGTGAGGGACCCGGAGTCTGTGCTTTTATTATTGAGAAGGCTTTCATTTCGTAAAGAAGTGCCCGCTGAAGAGAATTTATCATCGATCTCACTAGAAGACGACGGCTGATTCGCGCTTCCCTACAGCTTTTTGGCTTTAATATCCCGTTAATTTTTACATAGTCTACGAGACATCTTTCCCAATTTTAGGTGAAAACGGGCTGTGCTTTTGTCCATCATATAATGGAAATTAACAGAGCTGGAACTAATCGTTGTAAAAGTCTCGAAAAGAATGCTCAGTACTTTCTTCCGCCTTATATACATGTGTACTCAACTAAAAGCGAAAGTATATACACAAAGATAGATACAGAATGCTTTGGCTAATTCCACTTTCATATTGGTCGTAGTACTTTTGCTTGAGGGTGTGTGTGCATGTTAACCCTTTATGTAATAACGGCTATAAATTAGAGTGGTTAAAAGTGCCTCATGACACGCTTGAGCCATTAATACTTAATGACTCAAGGAAAAACCCTGACCCATTTCATTAATATTCTTCTCGTAGTTTACGCCTTTTATGCGATGAACTACCGATGGCAGTATCGTGAGGAATGCGGTCTTTCATTTGGTATTACCTTGATATTCCATTTTCTTAGTAGCTGTCGCATTTTTTGACTCAGTTCACATGTGTGTAGACATATCCTACGGAGGAAGAGGAAAATTCTGATAGTACTTGGAGAAAGAGGATTGTGGACTCAAAGACCAGACAAGGATCCATTCTCTTAGCACAGGTGGGTAGATGGGAGAATGAGCGGGGAGTATGTATAGTTCTCACAAAATCCGCTTACAAGAGCATATCTTAAATAGGCTTAGATAAGCAAGTAGAAAATTGCGATAGGGAAGGGGTGTTATGAGGATATAGGATAGATGAGTAGCACAAGACAGGAGAGCTACTACAATTGTTTAGCAGACGAACGGTCAAGCGATCAACTTCATTTGTATTTTTGTAGTGTTGTGCTAAGAATGACAACACCCACTGACGATGCCGGCGAGACGTCTGGGAGTACGCTAAGTCCATGGTCTGACATTGGATATTATCATGAATATTATGGCCTCCGTGCTACGTGCGTTTTTCTAGGTCTCTGACGATACGACCAAATTGCGAAAGCGAGGTCAAACAACTTCTATACATTAAGGGATTCTGCAACTATACAAAAGGCCACGCCAACCTGGCCTTCCTACCACCCTAAGGTTATTTTAATAATCCTTTCATCAAAACCACAGGACGCTGTCAATAATATTTATAGTGAGTTTTGACTTTGACCTGGAAAAGTAAAAATATTTCAAATAATGTAACGGCACCCTCACATTTAAAACCACTTATTCAGTTATTATGCATCAAAGCTTTTATCTGGCCGATCAGCTAACATACAAGTCTCTTTTTCCAAAAAAATAACTGAGACTTAAGCATTCGATTTCATTCACTCTTAATTAGCTTTCTTAATTTGTACCTAATTTAGGTGATTACATATTCTTTTAATTTATTATTCTCATCAACATAACCTATCTGCAAGCATACAAGAATAAGCACAAGATCATGAATGGGTGTCCATATAAAACGAAGGTGTAAATTAGTTGAGCGAAAGCAGCAATTCATCATAATTCCAACTTACAAATCTCATATTTCCTTCCCTTACTCCACCAGGTAGAATTATAAATTTTAGTATATTATAAATGGAACGCATGGACCACAAGTAAGGATTTAATGCAAAAAATAATGAATAAAGCAGTCAACCCAGGTATATATATAGCAAATCCCAAATTTCAAATCATATGAATTAGTAGGATTATGATTGCAATTACAATGTATGAGCCTTTTTCTCGTGTAATGAGCATGTGAGAAAGGAAGGTAAATAAAGTTCACTCAAGTGAAACACAAAGATATTGATTCACAGCCTTGTTAATTTTGGCAATATAGGATCTCATGATGGCAAGTTAAAATTGATGAAGGCCTCATCACAGATAGGAACTTTAGTAAGAAAAGAAGATACTTCAGCTTTAAAAGAGAAGAAATGCATTTTTGCTAACAGTCTCAAACGAATTCGCTGACAGACCAATTGGTTATCAAATGAGAAGCTTCCCTGTGTGTGGAGTAACATGTTGAGTGGATTCCGACTGTCTTGTTTCAAAATGGCGCACCAGATCCTCAAGTATGAGGTTACGGGCAATAAGCTCTTCGCACATCTGCTTCAAACGCTGAATATTTTGGGCATCAATTTGCGGCCCCAGTTGTTTAGATACACTAGCCAGACGGCGAAAGGCAGCAGAAGGCGATCCAATTGCAGGGCCATTGTTGGTAATCTCATAAGGAGTGCGAGAAGATGGAAGAGATGTTGCAATTGGGTCGTCAGTGCCGGATACAAGCAAAGACGAGGATGAGGACGACTGAAAATGTGAAGAGTTTGCAGAGGTAGGCTTAACTTCGAGGCAACCATCAAGTATGGCTTGAAGAGTGCGCCGTTTCTCTACCAGCTCACTTTCCAATCTGGCGATCTGGCGTCGGAAAACACAATTCTCTTCTTGAACCTCAGACAAACGATCAAGAAGGCTCTGCGGGAAGTGACAATCAACAAAAAATGAAGGTCAAAGATGTAAACGCAAATTAAAATATATTTCAGAAAATAGAGTAAGAACCAAGAATTAAGCATAAAAAATATTTGAAGAGAGTGGGTTTGTAAGGAAAAATGAAGTATTCAAAAAGATTTTAAAAGAGATTTTAGGAATGCGGATATGACCAAATTCTACTACTAATTTATTTAAATGTCGCAGCGGAAGCAAAGAAATAATCTCGGTTTCATCATTGTGTAAGTTTAATAATTAGAACAGTATATTTGCCAGACTGAACTAAGTAGAGCAGTTATATCTAGATTAAATTGTAGATATAGTCGAGGAAGGAAGAAGAGGAGAGTTATACATTAAGAAAAAGTAGGTAAATGAAAAGTTTCCAATGGAAAGAAAAAGTATATGGGGCATAATAGACAGGACAAGCCCAGGGCCCTAAATAATATGATAGAATGTGATGAAAATGAGATAGGGGGATAACTGTTAAATAGTGTATTTTTTCGCATTAAGTATTGTTTCGAGACTACCAGTTAATCAGTAATATGAGATGTATTCATCCAATTTTGTTTAAGGTGATGAAGGACTGATAAAAGAAGAATTTTCCCACAATGATATGAGTTGAACTGACGTTTCGATTGAATTTCACATAGCCTTGCTTTACCGAAAGTTGTTCTCATCCAGGGCGGACTGCAGTTTTGACCTAGCATCAGTCTTATCAACACCCCCAGCGGAAGTCGAACCACGACAGTGCAGGATAGGAGCTTGACACGCTAAATACTCGGCTATACTGCCACGAGTGCCTTTTGGGTCACAGGGCAAATGTCAATTTTCAAGGAAGGCCAGGCCTTTTTTCCAGTCTTTCATCACCTTAAACAAAATTGTGTTAAATAGTGGTTCAGAAAAAAAAACTTAGAGGGGTGGTAATTATGATATCCATAATTTTGGGAACCGTTCTTGATGAGGACAGATTGGTGACATTTTCAAAAGGTTAATGGGACCAGCTGACAAATGTTGGATGTAGAAAGAAAGTCTTGAAAAGATGGGAAGGCAATGCTTAAGGTAAGAACGTCTAACTAAATAGGCTAAAAAGGAAGCACATTTGGAGTAAATCAGAAGGGTTGAAGGTATGAATAGGAGTAGAGGAAAATTTGCATATGAAGTTAAAGTTAGGCATAAAGTCTATTAAACATGAAACTTGGTGGAAAAGAGGGAATAGAAAGGCAGAACTTAAACAGAGAATTGATCAAAAGAATTATCCCTGTTTATTTTAGCTGGATGGTAAAGATGGAGCTACTAAATAAAGGATCCGGAGAAACTTCAGAAATGTTCTGTTAACTTTCCGAGGATGTAAGTGTTCAGAACAAAATCGAAAGGGATGCAATGGGGTAAATGCCATTGGGAATAACAAGGATCACATAACTAATTCATATAGGCGAAAATATAGAGACCAGGAAAGTATGTCTTTTTCTATGGTCGCGGTCTCCTTTCGATGTATAAAAGTTGTCGCAACTTGATCATATTGGCAGGAAGAACTAGAAGAAAGCGCCTTGTCCGGAGTCCATTGTATGCAGCATACTTTCCAGAGTCTGACCGTGGACGTAGTACATTCCCAGACGTTTCGCCGGGATCATAGTCGGCATCGTCAGTGAGTCATGCATCACACGACAACTCGTGAAAGAGACAAGTAAAGTCGATCCTTTGACCAAATGTATGCAAACAGTTGTGGTATTTCTCGTTCTATCTTAGGCAATTAACCTATCCTATACCCTCGTATCCCCCATTCAATATCACAATTTCTTACTTCGACCTACGCGAGGTTAAAACTGCAATCCACTCTGGATGAGAACGCCTTTTGTGAAAGCAAAGCTACGTGAAATTTAATAGAAACGTCAGTTCTACTCATATAATTGTTGGAAAATTCTACTACAAGTACTTCATCACCTTAAACGAAATAGGGTGAATACATCTCATATTACTGATTTACTGGTAGTCTCGAGACTACTTAAATACGAAAAATAGGTAATGTAGTCGATTATTATAGCAAAAATACATTTACTACATCGACAATCCCACCAAAGAATATAATATGGGAAAAAGCCTGACCTTCCTTGAAATTCACATCTGCCCTGTGACCCAAGAGAACCCGTGGAAATGTGGCAGAGTGGTCAACGTTTCAAGCTCCCATTCAGTACTGTCACGATTCGACTTCCGCTGGGGGTGATGATAAGACCCATGCGAAGTCGAAACTGCAATTCACTATGGATGTGTAGCCGATCCTTTGAATAATTGTCTCCCGTAGGAACTATCTGATATCTCCCTGGTTCAAGTATGCACTCGACCCCTGCCACCCTATTTGTGCTACTCGAGGCGTTATTTACCACACTACGTCTGGGAGACTAACTTAAGGCAACAGCCCCTGCGTAATTCTCATGGTAAAGCCTTTGCTTCATTGACCACGTCTATGATAAAACAAGCCTACAGTCAAATAACTAGCCCCAGTCTACGCCACCTCTATCCTGTTTCTATCCCTAATACCAAGTCTATGACTTCCTGTTACCTAGTTTACTGTGCGCTAACCCAAAAATGTTGTGGTTCAAAATTATACCTAATCAAAGCAAGCAGTCTCACAACATTTGTGAGTTGGCATACAAGAGACTAGGGCATAGGAAGTCATAGACTTGGTATTAGGGATAGAAAAATAATAGACGCGGCGGAGACTAGAGTTAATTGGCTGACGGTAGGCCTGTTCTACCATAGACATGGTCCATTAAACAAAGGCTTGACCATTAACATTTGGTCACAAGTCAGTCTCCCAGAGGCAGAGTGTGGTATAAACGCATCGAGTAGCACAGATGGTATGGCAAAGTTCCCTTTGATTTGTCCCTTTGACG